CAGAAAGACTCCCTCTTCTCCAAGAAATAAAGCATGGTAAACGCTCAGCACACTAGCAATCCCAGTCTTCTCAACAGTCTACTCGATAGGGCTCATCTACAGGCAAAGAGTCAAAACAAAGCAAGGGCGCAACCCAAACCTGAAACTGCTAAACCTCAGTAGCCCACTTGCACACACTACTGTTTGGGCCAAAAAAGCACTTTAAAGCATTTAGCTCATCCATTTTTCAAAGCAGTCAAGCAACAGCTATCCTGCAACTATTTTCTTCATAAACTCTTAAAAAAGACAAAAGAGAAACTGCAGATCCATACTGCTGAGCACAGTAACAGATCAAGGGAGACTAACGAGGTCTGAGAGCATGTTTCTAGTGTCATTTATTGAGCTGGGTTCTTGGGACAAGTCAGGAGCACTGTGATTTCTCTGGCAATATGCTCATCATCCTTAGCATCTGACCTTTGGCAAAGCTGAGCGCTGCCCTAACCTAAAGACTAAACCTAAATATTTTGAGGGTTGAAGGCAGGACCTGTATCTACTTTGTTCTGCTCCCCTCTAATAACATGGTTGATACCTAGTGATAATAAAGAAACTGGCAAACCTGTGGGTGTTAAAGGGAGGAAAAGAAAATGGATTAGCGTTTCCAGCTTGCTTAGGTTCCCTAAAAACACTAATTTCCTACCACCATTGCTTGGCAGAATGCAGCAAACTTCCTATGATGCAGCAACTAATGGTGGACCGACATTATGCACAGCCTGAGAACAGGATGGGAACAGAGAAGGAACTTCAGATCAACGCCACAAGCCACAGAAATGGGTTGTGTGGACAAATAAGCAATAAATATGCTTATTATGTTTTGCTGGGTTTTTCACTGCATTCATCCATCCTCTTGAATGAAAAAGGAAATCCCCCCCCAAAAAGTGTCCATTATTTCCCTTCAGGTTTAATTAGTGAGTCTCAAACCGGTCAGAAGTTTACAGCATGATTCCACTGACACAGGAGCACTAGATGCATTTTCCACGGGACGTTGGAAAGCCTGTTCTTCACATTTCCAAACTTGTGATGTTGCCAGAAGTTGCCCCAGCCAACTTCCATATTGAGATTCCTTCAACTACACTTGCTTTAGAAAAGTCCAAGCCTTTTAAAAATATTTAAAAATATATATATTTTTTGTAGTTGTTTCTTTTTTTTTCTCTCTCTCTCTCTTTTCCAGGATAGAACTAAGGAGCAGTAACTACCTAGAAGTGAGCAGAAGAAACTATGGTTTGTCCCTATTAACCAGGTCCCTATTAGCCATGTCACGTTGTGGCACTTTGCTTTAACCATCACTCTTGGCTTTTGAAAGGTGAGCCTCAAACTGCTGCTGCACAATTCAATCTGTGTAGAAGGTAGCCATACAATGCACAGTAAACTGCAAAGAGTTGTGCATAGAGTTTTAACAGTCACAAAAAGCTGATCTCAACCTTTTTAAGGTTTAAGGAAATTTTGCTGCAAGTCTAATAACAACACAGCCCTGCACAATTCTGACCAGATACAAAACCTGCTTAGACTCTGCTGCAGGCTTCAGACCAAATCAGGAAGAGGACATGAGTTTCTTTTTGACAGGCATGTTTTGAATTCAAGGAAATTAACTTTTTTTTTCAAAAATTATCAACCCACATCTGTATATGAATCTATAAACAGTTCTTGGTAGAATAACATGTTGATTAAGTCATCAAACAAAACGCTTTCTGGCACTAGTAGCAGCAAAGCAGCAGCTGTTTCTAAGAGCAATTGTACGTCAAGTGAAAAAGCTGGCAAGCCTGAAGTTCACATTTAGCTACCTGATCAAGTTATCTTTTTCTGTAGAAAGAAATGTGGAGTCAGCAGGAATTTTGCTACTCGAAGCACACAGAAGGAAAGGAACCTCTGCCTTTGGATTCATTATTTAATACACTTGATGCAACCCTTATGTTCGCAATCTGTAGCTACACTGAGAAACATAAGTGATCCAAAACCTCCAAGGACCTTAATCATTACAGAACATGCAGGAGGAACTTGTTGACAACAGCAGCAGTTATTTAAATCTGCTGGCACTTTCAGAGACAAATAGCTCTAAGTGAAATCCAGCTGGAGGTGGCCTCCTTTGCTCTTGGTCTCTGAACACTGATGTGAGGACATCCTACACCCAGCAGACAATTAGCAAGGCCGCTGATAAATCACACGAATGGATCCCCCCTACCCAACAAATCCTGGAAGAGGGGAAGCTTCCTCGATCTGCTGCGATGGACCCACATGCCAGCAAGGACAACCTGACCCTACCATTCAGCAACCTTCACTGGGGCAGGCAAGTGACATTCAGGACAGTAAGGTGGAGGGGATGCAAGGAAAAAAGAGGTTCCTTGGGTGCTTGTCCAGAGCCAGGGGGAAGGAAGTGGTGGAAACCAAAGCTGCTCACATTACATCTTAAATACAGGGTGTTTTAAAACGAGGGTAAGGCACTATTTTTTATGACAAGACACCATGACATCTTCAGGGGCAATCAGTGTGTGGGAGAAACCTAGTATGCAAGATAGGCACAACCAGAGATGTCCACGTTTCCCCACTCAACACAAGGAGACCATGCCAGTAGTTTAGGAGGGCTTTTTCGCTCTTAAGAGAAGCATGAAACATTTCTACTGCAATCACCCAAAGTGCTAAATATTCCTTCAAAAAGAACCTACATGGTTCTTCACAACCTTTATTCTCAAAGACATTTTTACTACTAGACAGCAACTCTGTAACCACAACCAAATTGCTGGATTTCTCCTGGAAATACCCTTTCCAAAACCGCAAACCTTCACTACCAAAATCTGCAAGCAATAATGGGTCAGTGCTGTCAAAGTTTTTTTTGTTTCTGCCCCAGAAAGTTACTTTCTCATGAATTCTTAGACAAATTCTCACAAATAACTCCCATCCCTGCCAGGAGAGGAAAAACAAATGTTTTCCATGAGCGGAACTTGCATAACAGCTTCTGTGTCCTCACTAATGCCATTCCTGGAATAAACATCTTTAAGTTTCTCTTTCAGTTGACTAGTTCAAATAGGAGGAACCTCTCAAAGAACATGATAGGAGTCTGCCTTTTGAAACGTTCACCAGTTACTCTGCTGTCAAAGCCAGCAAAACCAGTATCCACGCATGTGCTGGGTGAAATACATCCCATCTCTACCTGAATCAGAGGAACTCTGCACTCCCAGCAGGACTCCAGCCTTCACAGGTCTCCCATTGCCAGCAAGACCCCCAGGGTGCTGTCCTGTATCTCCCTGCTACTGGCACTGTTCGAAACATCCTCCCAAATTAGGACCTAATGGGTTTCAGTTTGTAAAACTTCACTTTTCTGGAGTTCAATGCATAGGGGTAGTACATGAAAAATCAAGAGGCTTAAAGAGAAGCATATGAAAAGGAGAAAAGCAATTTTTGCCATAATTTTTTAGATTAAGCCTACAGGAGCTTTTATGAAGCTAGTAAAAATCTTCCAGATGAACCTTTAAGGCTCATCAACCTAAAATGATTTTATTTCTGCTCCCTCCTCAGTAATACTGCTCAAAATACAATGCTGAAAATAACAAATTGCCAGCAATGTCATCCCTCCAGTGAAAGGCACCTAAAAGCCCTATATGCGTACAGGAAACAGCGGGGCTCTTCAAGGCACATCACTATTTATGCTCTCAAAATATGTTAAAAAACTGATGACCAAAACAAAACCAAAGCTAAAAACATCACAACTGAAGCTTTCACATTAACATTGCAACTATGGGCCAGTGTATCCTTCACTTCGCATTTTTGTAGTATTTTTGCCCCAAATTTTCTGTTGGCCGGTGAACTTTTCAAGGCAAATAGTGTCTCTGTGTAGTATCTGCCACTGTGGAACCCTCCTATTGGAAAGGAACAGAAACTATGGACACCATCATATAAGTGAATGTAGCCTGTTAAATGAGTGTTCAAGCACATAAATACGTAATTTCTCATTTGCAAAAAGAGTAGGAAAAAACTATATGGCAAGTGCCTGAAGTTTGAAATTAGAAAAAAGTTACCGTTGACTTTAAGAGACTCTGTCATCATATATATCTGTACAACAGAACACAGGCGTAATTGCTAGCAAACCAGAGACTGAAGCATGGATGCAGAGAAACAGAAGCACATTTCTCATCTGCCTCAGGTCGGGAGAGACACTCTGCACGTTGACAGTGCTCCCAACTGGTTTTAGCTGTATCATTTCGCAGGGAAACACTCTGACGACAAAGGGGAAACGTCTCCTTAAAGTCCAGCACCACGTCCAGTGTCAATCTCGTAATACAGAGCATTTCTAACACAGCACGACAGGAGAGGATGCAAGAACAACTCAGGCCTGTAGGTAGCATTAGAAATGCTGTCAATAATGGGACATTTTCAGCATGATTGTGATAAGATGCTTTTCCAAATGGGTTGGTTTAGAGGCAGGTCTCTTGCACTGATTACAAAATTATTCTCTTTACAAAGGTTTGCAAGTGCCTCTGCGTTCCAGGTGAACAGCCTGAAGCCACTTGGCTGAGAGTGTTAATTCTCTCAGGTTCACCTTGGACACAAATGAGATGGATGAAGAGTAAACTATTCTGTGTATGAACCCAGCATTATCTGGGCTGATGAGAACGCTTCAGGTAAAGCACCTATCAGTGTAAAACAACAGACATAGCAGGTCTGGGGCTAGTCAGAAGTTACAAAGAGCCAAAAGCAGCACTGCTGATAAAGCATTTAAACCAAATAAACCTACCTAAACAGAGTCTTAGGATCACCTCATCTGGGAGAGCCGCCTTGCTCCCATACAAGCAAACTAAGAGCAGGAGGCTGAAGCCCTTTCTCAAAAAGGTCAACACAACCACATGGCCTTTGGGGCTGCCCTCTCCTCCCACCTCCCCTCCTGGCCCACAGAAGCCATGCTGGAAGGAGCCACATTTTTCAGCCAAACACACAGTGATACCTTTGCCCGTCGCTTACTGACCAACACTTACTTTTTTCTTGGAAGAGGGCACATGGGCTCAGGAAAGGAGGCTCTTCGCAGCGGGCTGCACATCTGGTGCTTGTCACAGGGCACTGCTTCCAGGGATGGAGGTGCAGGGACACATTCGGGGAGCAGGGCGAGTATCTCACACTCACACTGGAGCTAGATGCTGTTTTCCATCAGCCTTTGCTAGCTCTGAAAAGGTCCAAGGCAGCACGCCATAAAACTGTGAAATTTGGCCCTACTGGTAGCTGCTCCAAAGAGGATCCAGGGCCGGGGTACAGTCACAAGCAGAGGAAGTCCATCCCGGCTGTGAGTCAGGGTCTTGCTAGCATCCCTGCAGCGGGCTCGCTTCGACGCGCTCCACACTTGGGCACGGCACAGAGCTGAGCTGCTCACCAGCAGGGAACTAAAATACTGCCAGGGAGACCTTCGGAAGAAAAGAGAGAGAGGAATGAAGAACATTGTTCATTCTCTAAATTTAAACCAATCTGTGCCTTCTGCACGGTAACTTTCAAAAATCCCATGAAATTTGTCCATTGGGTAAAATCCTATTAGGGTGGATAACTTGGTCAGTTGCGGTTTACTCAGATTTTGTCGTGGCTTTAGTATTTTGTGATCAGACATAATTATGGGTAATTTTAACCCCACAACTCCAATCAAAAACTGCCAGCAATTAACAGCTCCAGATTTGAACAGCTTTAGGCATTGAAACACCCAAGAGAGCTCACACCACTCTGCACTCCACTCGCTTCTTCAGTCTGTTTTACAGCTAAATTTCTTCTCCCGGTTAAACCAGCACAAGCTCGCGCCCATTAGAACTGCTCCTCTGCAATCACAACTAACCAGTAAGCCCTAGGCAATAAACTTTAACCCTGTCACCAAAGCTTTTTAGAGATCAGGCCTGTAAACATTATCTTCAGTAATTAAAATAGCAAACGTGGCAAATCAGCAGACGGGAATAATAGCATATTTCTGTGCAGCAGGGAGCAGGAGTTCTGCAAGCACCAGTGGACTAGCAAAGCTGGTACAATTTGACACATGAGGTTGCAGCACCCCCAGGCCAGGAATCTGAGTCACCCATGAATGGAAACAAATGTAAAAGGTCATTAAAAAAACCTACTAAACCCAAAGAAATTAAACAAATGCATTAATTAATTAAAATCTCTATGAACAGCAGAGTTGAATTTTACTGTAATGGGATCAAATGTCTTTGGAAAATGCCCTTCGGTAATCCAATTGAAGCTCGGCATGTTTCCATTTCTGTTTAGTCTATCTGGTTGTATTTACAGCATGATCAGATACCAGTCTGAAACATCAGAAAGTGAAAAATAGGATGCAAGGATTCAATAAAAAAAAGTAGTATATAGCTTTCATCACATTCTCCTCATTCACTAATCTCAAAGTATTTTTTCCAAGACAGTGAGTAGTTTTGATTTGCGAGCATGAGCTGCATGAACTGCAGTTTCCCAAGTCTCTCCTATGAGCGCATCCATGCATGATGAAGTCCATCATGGCTAGAAAGAGGAGTCAATCCAGCAAGGGAGCCCAGGCTACAGAAGGGCTTGGGGTCCTGAATAGTTCTTCCTACAAACATCACTGCAGCGCAGCCTGAGAAAACGCACAGACAAAACTCAACATCCTACACGTGCTCATGCAGACCCCAGAGCCTTGAGGAAGCATCCACCATGGATCGTTCTGCTGGAGGCTGCACGGGCGTCCATGAAACGTGACAATCTCTACCCATGAGTTTACACTGGATATCTAACATAAGGCAGAAGCAATAAATGAGGGGGAAGGAGGTGCAGGAGGGGAAGTAATAACATGAATGCCGTCAGCAGATTAGCACAAGTTGCAGCACACAGCACCTGTGCCACCAGGCCAGCCCCAGAGCAGGTATCAGCACCGAAACAAAAGTGTAGTAGTGTCACTAACATCTGTAAAAATGGAAAACTTGGGCAAGTTACTGAAATTAAGTGATATTAGTGATACCACATACCTACTTTGATACAGACATATCAAGTACCAAGCCACTAGCGCTAATGGAAAGAACAAGAAAGCCAAGCATGAGGCACACAAGACTCGGACAACATGCTCTTGCATAAGGGATCCCACTGTAGAGCAGCCGCTGCATGTTTTTGGCTCTGTATCACTGTCTGTTCCTAAGAAGTACCAAAAAATCTCTTTCTGTGGAAAGGCCTTTTTCCAATGAAAGCAACTTTGAACTGGCTATTTGCCTTTATCAGGGCAACCTAAAAATACAGCATAACCTGTCATGCATACAGGTCACAAATATCACTGAAGACTTTGCTGTGCTCCCAGTTTGAGACTGAAGGCACTCACATGGGTGGCCATCTCAACACGTGATATCTACCAAAATCAGCCTATGAACAGAAAACAGATTGCAACAGCTGCTTTGAGGTTAAGACCAGCCTTAACAAGCACCAGCCTTAAGGATCAGTATTGCACAGTGCTTCCTCTTACATCTCCTATGAAATGACCTTCCAGAAATGGAATTTCCAGCATGACTAGTCTCAGTGGTGACATGCAGTTAGGGGAAACAGAATTTACAGTGAATAGAATAGATCAGATTTATGGACTAACAAGACAGATGATGCAGTGAAGCAAGGAATGAAATGTAATGAGGCCAAGAAAAAATTAAACACATGCTATATTCAAGTCTAAATAGCAATGCACAAACAGGAAATATGATTTAAAACAATTTACATAATGTTCAGTAGCAACATCAAGCAAAAGCAGAAAAGATCTTACAGGCTTTATAATACAAGCAAAATGCAGTGGGAGCTAGTAAGGCAAGTTACGAGATGCTGTTGAAACATCTGTATGAAATGCACAGGTTCGATCTTGCGAGTGCTTGTAGCCACACTGAAAAATGTGAACTACTACAAAACAGATTTCTAGAAAACTCAAACCAAATCCAGAACAATTTTACAGATCTCAGGATATCTGGTCATTAATTTTTTTGAAAAATGAAATCTACAGTTACATGAAATAGTCCCAAAGCCTGTAGGATCTCATCACCTTTAACTGTATGACAGATGGACACAATAAAGAAAGGGTCTCCCAGAATGAAAAGGTGCAGCAGGGAACAAAACCACCTTTGGGGAAAACAGGAGCAACAAGCCAAAAGTTTGAACTTGCTCCCGATAAAGCCTTGGGCATCTACTTCTCTTGGCTGAGCCATGAGAGTGGAAGTGCCCAGTAGGCTGGAGCAATGCCCATCCCTGCACATATTCAAAGCTTATCTGGACAAGGACCTGAGCAAGCAGGTTGGTCCACATCTCTTCCAATCCAAATTTTTCTCTGATTCTTTAAAACAGCATCAGGACAGACTTATTTGTGGATGTGGGATTATAGTTCTGCTCTGAGAACATTTACATACATTCTTAATTTTACATGCATTTAAGTCTAATTAAAATCAACTGGAAGAATCATTTGCTTCAAATTTAACATGTTAAGCATTATAAAAATCAAATGAGTTGGCATGTTGGTATTTTCCCATCTCTCTTTGGTTCACTATATTTTTCCTAGTTGCAATCAGGACAATGGGAAGAACTGTAATTCCTGGAAAGTCAAGAGACAGTGCAAGTTTTCAAAATACTATCAGAATATTCCCAAACTATCCCTTTCACTTAAGGCCGCTTGTTTTTTAACCCCTTTGTACATAGAACTTTAGAAAATATTTCCTCAAATGCAACAACTTTTCAATTGTATTCCTGACTAGTTTCTTAATTGGGCTCAGAAGTAAAATTATCCCTCCACTGATAGCATTTTCCCCATTCAACATCTAATCTATTTTGAAAGCTTAAGCTAATTCTATAAATATTTAAATTAAATATAATCTGCATCTGCTTAGTGATTTTTAATTAAGAAGTTGCTCTTCTCCCGAAATGTGTAAATGTTCAAAGCCAGTGTGCAGTGGCAGGATAACGTCAGGGCATTTAAGGTTCTGTATTATTATTGATATATTTTTCTGTGTATTGGAGGCAGAGTTTTGCACTGTACTTGAGCCGCCTACCCAGCTGCTCAGAATCATCTTTAAAAACGCCAAAAACAACAAAGAAAAGAATTTGAAAAATTAACTCAATTTGAAACTGCTGTGACTAAGACAGAGAACTTTTTTTTCCCCTTATTTCTACTTTAAACTCAATTTTTCCATATATTTCTTCCACAGTTAAAACTGAGCCTATGACTTTCAGCCCTTAGGACTTCTTCCAGGTCTCACAAAGGAGTCTTGCAGGTGTCAGTTGGTGAGCGCTGGGTCACTGAGCGCCTCCTCTCTTCCTCGAGGAACTACGGTTTTGCCAGATGCAGCGACGTCTCACGACGGATGAACCTGAGCTGGTTTAAATCCAGTCAACAGCTTGCCCACTCTGAGCACGGTGCTGCCCCGGCACCTGCAAACAGCTGCTTTGGGGCACGCTCGGTGCCTCCACGCGAGCCGCTGACACCGCAGGTGACTGCAGCATAGACTATGTGCCTAAAAAGCTCAAAACACAACTTTGGGAAAGATTCTCCTTAGAATTATCATCACAGGAGCATCCTAAGCAGCAGGTTTGCCTTTAACAAAGCAGTAGATGCTCTCACTTTCAGGGATTTAACTCTTAGGCATCTTACTTCCAGAACAGGACGGGACATGAACACCACCTCCGTATGCAGGAGGGCAGGTCCAGGCCTCCGGGGGCTTCAGCCTGCAAGCTCCTAGGTGTGACCTCCACCTGCAAACTTATCACTGCTCCGATCAGGGCTGCTGAAAGCTCACGGCATTTCCTGCACAACTTGGAAACTCAGAAGTCATCTGTATCTGGCTCTTCTCCTGAATCGTCTCTACTCTTTCTTGACAAGCCTGGCCTGAACTTGGCAGATCAAACAGGGGCCTTCAGCCCCACTCACCTCCCGTCAGCAAGCGACTTTCAGCCTACCACCAAAAAAAGAAAAAAAAAGAGCAGAAAATGCTCCAATGCATGGGCCAAAATACAACTGGAAAGATCAGTTCGCCCTCACACCAGACGCAGCCTAGGTGCAGACATGGGAGAAGCAATGGGCCAGTGCACCAGGGCCAGCACTTAATTACACTTAACATAATTAACTGTTGCATAGAAATGGGGAATATATAACAGAAATCTATAAACAGAAATCTATACAGAAATCTATAAACAGAAATCTATAAACAGAAAGAAGTAACTAGATAAACCGCAAAGGTTGCAAATCTACAATTCAACAGCAAGTTGTTTATTCTCCTATTCTACAAACAATTAAAAATGCCCTTTCTATTTAGTCTAACCTTGGAAAGTATGACTTCTTTCACAGTCAAAGTCAAAGCTTTCCACAAAAAAAAATTCGGGTTACTTTTCTATTTATTTATTGCAGATTGAAGGCTGGTTGTCTTCGAAGCACGACCCCAGGCAC